ACATATTCCATGGAGGCTCAGATTTATTTTGGTTTCGCTTAGATATTCCACTTCGTATAGTTGTTTGTGCTGGGACCACGCCTCATCGATCATCCTCGATGTTCGAGAATATCACGCTAAGCTTGTGGTCAACTCTGATACAGAAATTGCTATGACTTCAATCTCTTCAGGAGCGCGTCCACATATCAACTAGCAGTAGTGTGTAGCGCGGGAGATGCTCTATATAATTGATCCGTGATGAGCGGGTAGTGTGCAGGGAGTGGGAGAATCTGTTTTTATTGATTCTAGGTTTTGTCGTGATACTTATAAGTATAAATTGCGAAGTAGATATAAGTCATACAAGAGCCTGTAGCAAACCATGAGCAGATCATGGCGACATAGGTGTTTGACTGCCTTGTTGGATCTTTGCGATAAGAAGATCAAGCGCCATGAACGGTACCGCGTCGCTCGTTGCCCCAGGACCCACTACATTCGCCAACGAAGTCGTTTAACACATCAATCAGTTTACCATTTTCCCTATTCCCCATCAAGTTTTCAGGGCTGATATCTCAACGATAGACACCTTACTCAATGATTACGCTGACTGAGTGTTGTCAGCAGAGTTGATGAGGTGGAGAAATCTAGGACAAGAAAGACGAGGTAATTCCTATAACTTAAAGTACTAGCAGACGAAAAATACAGCAATATAAACAAAGCCGTGAAGCCGTACCAGACGAAAGCAACACGACATGAGACTACACACCAATATGAATAAAAACCATCCTCTGCTCAAGCGGTACTTTCGCCTTCACGGCATTTGTAGCGCGGTTGAGCGCCCAGGCCGCTTTCGTACAGTCCATGACAACACCGTCCTCCGAATCACTGAACATATTCTCGTAGAAAGCTTCGACCACGTGTTTCACGACAGCATCATCAACCACCCACAGGGTGCCAATGACGCTCTTGAACCCAGAAAATTGGAGTCCAGCTGCGAGGTGGATGACTTCGTCGGGTGTCTCTTCATCGCCGACGGCGGTATGACATGCTGATAAGAATGCAAACTCAGCGTGCGGAGTGTCGTTCTCCATGATGTCAAGCAGCGTGAGAGGTTCATCTCTCATGGCGAAACGTGAATTGTAAGGCTGCTCGTGATCCTGCTTTCCATGACAAGCGAGGTGTACCCAAGTGTTGCGTTGCAATGCGTCGAGGGCACCTGCTCGCGTGGCGTCGTCGCTGGAGAGAGTGGTGGGGTTGGCGGTCATGGGCACGAGCTTGCAGACGAGCTCAAGCTCGGTGTCGATATTCAAGAGCGCCTCACCTTGTCCCACGCCCGGTGAACTTTGTCCGATTGCCGCAAAGGACGGAGTCACACGCGTCTTCATCATCTGTCTAGATCTGATCAGAGCTGAAAGTGTTGGTGTGTAAGAACAGATGTAGACATCCTCCAGGCATAGTTCCCGCCCACGTCCGTCTGCCTTTGTTCGAAAGGGGTGAGCTGCGTGGAGAGGAATGGAAGTGAAAGCTGCAGTTGGACACAGCCAGATTCGAGAGCGGCACGTTATTCTGAGATCTCGTTGGAGGACAATGACAATGGGTAGCATGATTTCGTCCCATACTGTCCGCAAGAGGACTTGCAATTCCTTCCTCGTCTCCTCTGGACGCATGCGAGACGCTTGTCGTATCTCCCTGGCAAAGTCTTTCTTGAGCGTCTCCAGATGTGTGAGAGTGATGCGCGGGAAGCAAACATGGTGGGGATCTCCTGACGTTGGGACAATGATGGCACTGCACGAGTATTGACTTGCAATGAGGATGATGACTGGGCCATGACGCGCTGCCGCTTGCAAGTCTTCGTATGAAGGTGGGAGCAGGAACCGCGAGAAACCTTGAAGATTACGGATTTCAGCTACTGCAGCTTCCCATTGCGTTGTAATTCTCCTGTACTCTACTGCTGCCTGATCAGCAATAGCTCCGTCCGTGCTGACTGTGGAACCTTGAGCATCAGCCAGACACTTTCTGAGCTCCGAGAACTTATGAGCTATGTTAGAATTCGTGGACTCGAGATCTTCCAGCGGAGTCCTGAGTCGGGATGCCAGTGACCACTGCTGACCACGACCCTGTTCCACGAGTTCAACTGCATGTCGCAGATCGTCACGACGTACAGCACATGAAGCTGCATCTATTGGCAATGATCGTGCACCGCGAAAAGCGGCTGCAGCCTCACGCCGTGAGATAATCGTCGATCGCGTCATGATGTGGTTGTCGAAAAGCTGCAAGCACACTTGGTATGCTTCGAGGGCAGAGTCATGTCGATAAGCTTCTGCTTGGCGAGCCCAGTCTACAGCCTCTTTGATACGTTCCGGAAATCCTTGAGTGAGATGTCGTGATGCCAGTCTAAAGTTCTCCATAGCGAGTGACAAATCAGCAGACTTGCACTGCACTCTGTAACGAGACAAATAGGCTTCCTGTAACAGCATGTAGCCGAAATATCTGTCTGGATGCAGTGAAGGCAAAGCCTCCAATGATTCTTGGCACAGTCGAATGGCCTCCTCGATATCTTCATTCTCATGAGTTTGCGTGAAACGAGAACAGAGCGCTGAGCTCAAATTGTGGAGATTTATGTGGCGCTCTGGATCGTCAAGCCGCGTGAACAGAAGCGAATCCCGGTACAGGTCAATGACCTCATTGAGATCCTCGCCGGCATCCGATTTGGTTTGGAGCGCGAGGGCAAGGTTGTTAAGCGTGTAATCATGATATGGATTCCCAGGCGGGCACAATGTCAGTGCCTCGCGATGGAGGCTGATGGCTCTGATGATGTCGTTAATATCATTACAGTGGTTGAAACGGGTGAGGAGGGCAAGTCCGAGGTTGTCCAATGAAAAATCACGATATTTGTTCCCAATGCGCAGTGCTTCTTCATACAAAGAGATGGCCTCGTTGAGGTCACGGAAGTTGCCTTGGTAATCGAAGCGGAATTTGAGTGACAAGGCCAAGTTATTCAAGTAGGACTCATATTTAGAATGTCCCTCGAGGCACAGAGAAACGGCTTCGCGACGACATTGAATGCACTCATCTAGATCATCAATGCTACCAGATTGTTTGAAGCGCCTTTCTACTGCTTGTGCAAGCTCGTGGAGGGCGCTGGGACGGTATTCATTGCCCAGAGGACAGAGCTCGAGCACGACTCGTCGAAGGTGAATGCATTCATCAGATGTGTCGGTTGGGAGATTGTTGCATGCGCAGATCACAAAATCAATGCCATTTGCTCCTACCACGATGCTACGAAGGTAGGTGCCCTCTCGACAGAGGCGCAGTAGCTTGCAGGACAGTTGCGCGGATTCATGGATATAGGCGGCGGTGAAGTTCTCCTTGCTGTAGCACCAGATCAACGCTTGAAGGAGGTGATAGATAGATAATGGATGATCGGGATGGCCCTGTGGACGCAACGCAAGGGCTTCGCGGAAGAGAGAAGTGATAGACTCGATGTCTTGAGGATCGTTTTGGATGTAGTCTTGAAGGCGAGCCCACGCGAGGTTGGTAAGAGCTGCTGCCTGGTCAGGATGGCCGGCCTGACATTGGTCCAGGACCAACTGAAAATGCTGTATAGCATAGTTCAGGTGAGAGACTGTCCCGCTTGCCACATACGTGGCAAATCGTTCATGTCCCGCATCCGTGTCTCGAGCAATATCACATTCAACGATAGACTACAGTAGGTGTTCCATCAACAACATTCGACAACACAAAGGCCGATATCGCTCACATCAAACAGTGCGCTGTCCTGATTGTCGCAAGGATGCAGAACAGCAACCTTCAACGTGAGGGAAGACTTATCACTACAAACGGGCGGGAAGGAGATGTCTGCGAGATATGAATATATGCGCATGAGTGAGAAGGAGGTTACTCACGAAAAGGCCCATCTCCATGATCGAGTAGCTCATCCCACGACATTTCTAATTTTGCAACGACTTTCCCATTGCCTAGCATTCGACCGAGCTCATAGGATACCCTGATCTCCACCGATAATTCAGGCACCTCGCATAATGATCTATAAATGGATGATCAGTCCTCGAATCGCATGTGAAAGTTGTTATAGACTTTACAAGATCACGATGTCGCCCAACACTTTTGATTCGTCGGATGATAATACTCGGACGGTTGATTTCCAGCGCCTCCTCGAATCGACATTAATAGAGACGTAAAAGCCTGCGGGTATGCGCTCGGAAGGGAGTGGAAGATCGTTCACACTGATGACTGTAGATAGGGCAAGAGGATGATGCACAAAATGAATACGAAGGTAATGTGGGACTCACGTTCAAGTCTGATATATTTGCCGTCCCAGTTACCGGGCATGATGATGGAATAACGAGGAAAGAGGATGGGCTGAGCGGTGGGTGGATAACAGGGTAGAAATATGGGGACTGGATGAAGCTCGCAGCTGGTGAGAGGAGGGAGAGGATGAGGGTTCAGGCCATGCATGCACGTGTATTTACATGTGGTTGAGGGCAGTTCGGCACGATAGACACCAGTTTGATTAAACCAAGTGCTAGATCACCAATTAGCATCAGTAGGACAATGTCAAGGTCAGTCAGCAGCGAAAGCACATCAATGCACCATAGTTGAAAGGAATATGCGAGCCTCAGAGCGTCCTGCAAACTCTACTCTCACCATAGTACTCAATTAGCACAATATGAGGCTAAGGCGCTAAGGCAAATCATGATATAGAATTTAGTATATTTCATAGTGCAGACAATACAAACCACTGAAAATGAAGCGCACATTGACTGAAAAGCCAAACTGTTCTATATGGGTCTGGTTGAGACCATGCCAAGGGTGTTGTGGAAAGAAAGGTAACAGTTCACATGGGTACTCGAGCTCGGTCTTTGAGACGAACCCTCGTTATAATACGAGGCGCTTCAATAAACCTGTACATAATAGACTGTATAGTGCGTTCCCCAGGTTGAAACGTTGAAAATGAAAACATCGAATTACATAATGAAGTCAAAAGCGTGACTCAGATGCATCCATACTGAAGTACTGACATGTCAACACCTTCAACCCAATCGTGCTTAGGAAGACATGGGTGCACAAATTGGTGTGGGGGGATCTTGTGCGATACAACCAGATCCCGCTTCAAATATTGTGGTATATCGGTCCGATCCATATGACCGACTTCAGGCGTGCGTGGTATGTAGAACCGCATTGTCACCGTCATCAAGACAGAATTATGATATATAGTACCAGCCGTCTCTCATATCAAGAGAATTTGGGGTAAAAGGATCACATGAACAACGTCCTTCTAGCATCAGTGGAAGGCATCTACAAATCCCCTTTCCCTCCATCACTCGAATACCTCCTGTGCCATCACGTCCTTCACATCAAAGAAAGCTAGGTACTCTTTAACTTCGCATGTTCGGCCTTTTGCAAGTAGTGATTCCCCCCTGATATAGATTGCACGTAAGTAATGGAAAATAGGTGTAACGGTGAGTTCGTACGGTTATATGTGTGTAATCAATAAACCCCAGGAATAAGCCTGTATCTCACTTTCTTTGCCCAATTCTCCCATTCTTTGCCCAGAGCACGCTGCAACATCTGGTCCTCCACTGCAGGTCGGTTGATGGAAATCCAAGCGCATAATGTGGTAGAGACAAAAAAGCCAGTCACTGCTAATACTTTAATGAAAGGCACTTGTAATATCCCAGACTGCCTCATCCACGATCCTTGACTTCCGTACATGATAACAACGCCAGCACTTTGGAGAAGGAGGCCAGCGTAGCTTGGGTGGCGCACCACCGAGTATGGCCCGCTTGTCACAAGTCTGTGCTCTTTTCTGACGCTGAGGTGGTAGCTCCAAAGCTTCCCTAACGTCAAGATACAATAAAGCCTCAATGCGCCGCCAATTGCGACAGCAATACTGCCGACAAGGAAAGCAGGGGTGATTGGTGTAGGGTGAAGAACGCACAAAAGCTGCACAGCTCTAGCGCCATAGATGCCTTCTGGAATATGGGAGGGTCCTATATGCATGGCCAGGATGCTAGCCACTTCAGCAGACGATGCTGCCCATGCGCTGATCTGTTATATTATCCACAGATCAATAAAGACAACGACCGGTGTTTAGGAGCAACCCACCCTCAGTAACTCCGTACCGCGAAGTTTCAAAAGCCATCCAACGAAGGATTCTAACGACGAGGGAACCACCTTCTCTTTAGACGATGGTGGCGGGGAAGGAGAAGTGAACGAAATATGAATACCAATGGCCGAAACCAGAATGAAGGGGATCTTCAATAGACTCATGGTGTACCGTTGTATGTGACCTAGAGGTGTTAAGAGGAAGTTGATAGGAACTGATCAAGTCGAAGGAGGAGGCTAGTATGATTTTTATATTGGAATGCTTAGTTGCCCTGTTCCAACCCGGAGCTTTGATCCGTTTCAACATGAGGTAACACTCAAGTCCAAACATGCATCACCCCCCCCTCAACACCGTCGCTTAGCATATGAAGCAGATGATTGCAAAACTACATTAGAGTATATATCTTTAAGACCTATAATCTATACCCACTCGCCTGCGAGGTCAACCATCCAGCTTCGTCTGGCTCCAGAGTCACTGACACGATCTAATGGGTTGGGGTGTACCGGGCATCATACATCGACTCGGGGTGGGAGCCTATCAGCAGGTGGAGCCGCTCGAGAGGGCAGGATACCTGCTTACCAATTCGACCATGCCAAATGACTCTTCGAGTAGCTTTGGAACAAAATATGTACATATTCGTGAACCGAAGGTATTGTCATATATACCGATATATGATTATATATACATCTGCAAAACGCTGAAATTAACGCTTAGCTTAACCGCGTTACGAACAATTACGAACACTTACGACCTGTGTGATGGGCAGCTCTGATTGGTGGAGATGCTGGATGGGCATGCGAGATCTTGGAGTGACGTGATGGCTCGCAAGGTAATCAGGATAACCTTAATCGTCGTGTTCAGCCATTGATTGAATCGCACTACCACAAATGAAAACAGGATTCACTATACTATGTAGACAATCACAATGACTCACTAGTAGTCTCTACTGCATCTAAAGCTACTGCTAATGCGTGATACATCTCTTTGTCTGCAAAGTTGTTAAGGAAAAAATTGTCAAACAGCTCCATCAACATGTTACTCCCAACATTCTTGTTCAATGGTCCTTCGTAAATGGGTATCAGCTCTACTCCATGAGTGACATTGGTGAGATGAACTATAACAGTCAGTTGCTCTCCATATTGTGGATGCGAAAGATCAGCATTCCATGAGTGCTGGACTCTCCACATGCCTGTCAATGGCTCTGGATCTCCTCCAACAAAATTGAAAGGCTGAACAAGCCACAAAGACTTGATTCAGAAATGCTGGCACTTCTGTGGATGAGTACTTCTTGTGTGGTCAGTTAGAATACAGCACGCACTTGAGCTACAAAGGGACTTGCAGTAGAATACACTCAAATATCAGTATTGTACATGAAAAATAAAGAAGAAGCGTACGTGTGCTTCCATCACTCTGGCCAACAAGCATGGCATCACAGTGGCCAGAAGGAAATGCTTCAGATGGAGGGTCAGCCTGCATGACTTGACTGGGCATGATACTGTGTTCATTGAAAGTGGAGTGAAGTTGAATGCGGAATTTGTACCAGACATTGAACAACAGTTGATTGAGCTGAGTGTGAGATCTGCATGACCTCTCATAGCGATGAAGTTGTAAAAGACTGGTAAAAAGTCAGGAATGTGATACATTGATTGGGAGATCAGATGCAGCCAGGCGTTTGCGACTGGGATTGAGAGTAATGTTGAAGGCAACCCTCACATTGTTGGACATGATCCCTTTCAGAAAGTGATTGTGCACTGGCCATGGGCTGTGCAGACATTTCTGAGCTTCTGGGTTAATACAGGATATCCACAATAAGGCTGGGTCGGTGTCTGTAGCAGCGACTTCGTCATCTTCTGTAATGATTGCATTGATGAGAGGATTGCCTGATTGGCGCGAGGCCATGGTAGATGATGACGATAAGAGTGTGTAAAGTTTGAAAAGGCATATAGCCTCTTCCCAATTGAGGATTTGTGCGATCTGTTTGACAAAATCCTTCTGGCAACTCGTCTTCTTGAAGGGATGCTTGCAATGTGTAATTAAGAGATGCTCAGAAACATCAGCTGAGTATTGCATAAGTGAACTGACATGCTGGATGATACGGGTGAAGCTTTGCATAAGTTCAAGTTTGGGAATAAAAAAATCGTCCTTGACCCTGCCTTTTCCTTGCCATGCCTCTGCTGTAATGATGGCATGCTTATAACGATGAAACTCGTTTAGTGCATAGGTCATGTGGCGAATGCTGGTGGGTGTGTGAAAAGATTCTGGGCAAGATAGATGAAATCGGGAGGGGCAGCTCCCACATTGTA